GAAATTTGAATAAGAGATCATTAATTAAAAAAAAAAAAAAAAGGGAAGGAGGAAGACGAGGAAGAAGAAAACCAATACTTAATTTCTACTGGGAAATTTGAATACGAGATCATTAATTAAACAGAAAAAAATTATACTTAATTTTCACACGAGAAATTCTAATAAAGCATTGACATATTAAACTAGCAGACATCACATATATAGCTTTAAAAATTCGATTTAAATAGTAATTTTGATCAATTCTTAGGGCATAGGAAATCTCCACTAAGTTCCTTCTAATTACTCTGTTTAGATTTTATGTACACCAATATACTGTATAAAAGAAAATTCAAATACCTTTTCATCGAAGAGTGGTGCCGAGTTGGAGCTTGAATAATTTTTTTCCTCATTTCCATGGCGTAGTCTAATGAACTTCGGTAAATATTGCAATTGCAAGGACCGTAGTTGGCCAAGCTTAAAAGTTTCACTTGCTTCTGCTATTTCCATGACCCCTTGCAACTCCTCATCAACAATCTCTGTCATATTGCTACACTTCATTACTCTAATTTCTTTGAGTTTGTGAAGTTCTCTAGCTACAGAGAATGGGAACAAAGTTTTCAGCTGATCACAATATTTCACAGTTATAATGCTTAATCTGCTAAAAGATGTTCCTCTGAACCGGCCATGACATATCTTCACCAAATTATTCAAATTCTGCAGAAAAAGTCCTTCCAAGAGTGGAAATACACACCCCGCTAAGTTAACAATATGTTGAACCTCTGGAGCATCTTTGACATAAAGATACTTCAGTTCCTGAAAACCTGCAGCTTCTAACTCACAAACTACATTCTTGAAACCTATCAACACATCTAGATGTAGTTCTTCTGCTTTCTTCAACAGCATGTCAATTGAATGACCATAACTATTGCTTGTATTCAGCTCCAGCTTCAATATTTTTGAGCTATCGAAGGAACTGTCCCAGTGATTACCCACCTCTCCAATGAAGATCTTGTATCTTTTCAATTTATCAAAGAACAAGTCTTTTGGAATTTGCTGGACATCACAAACATGTACATCTAAAGCAGCCAGGTTATGCAAATCTTTCAACTCAGCAAGGCTAGCATTTCTTTGATTTCCTCCTTCCCCAACATCCCATTGATCGAAGCTATTTCTCAGATATAGCTCTTCTAGTTTGGACAAACTCGCTAAGACATGTGGCTGAATCATTTTGAGTTTAGTACAATCATTCAAATCTAAGATCTTTAGCTGCGTTAGCTGTCCAATTTCCGCCGGCACCTCTACAATATCTGATTTTGAAAGGCTAAGGACTTCCAAACTCGTCAGCTTGCCAATAATAGCCATGTCTTCTGAAACACCTCCATTCACATGTAATGTATGAAGGTTTTTTAGGAGGCAGATTGATGAAGGCAAAATACATATTAGTGAAATCCAAGACTCTGAGTTTTTGTGTTCCCCGGAAAATGTTTTCTGGAATTTTCATAGAAGAATCCTTGCTGTTCAAAGAAAATAAGGTAAGCTGTGGACATTCCAATTCATCAGGAAGCTCACTCCTATTAGCATTTTGTAGACTGATCCATTTGAAATCTTTCAATGCCTCCCCATCGGACCACTCTTTCGGTATATGGTCTTCTGCTATTGATAAAAAATGGCGGCTCCTTAAGGCAATTGATATGGCGACATCATGTACAATATCATGCATATCAAACCAACCATTGTGACGACCATCAAGCAGCAAAGAAGAGGACTTTAGATTACTAACCAATGTTAGTACTCTGTTTCGAGCTTCTCCTGTCGTCTTGACATTAGGGAATAACTCTAAGCCAATTCCATAACTTAGCAAATCTTCGATAGAAGAATTGTGTCCCAACAAACAACAAAGCAAGAAAGTTAACTGGAGCTCTTTTTCTTCTAAATGGTTGTAACTCAATTCTATTGCTGAATAAACATGTGCAGGTATCCCCGTGAAGCTCTCTTGAGAGGGCCTTTTCAGTTGTCGTAGAGCATCTGTCCATACATGAGCACCCTTACCTTTTAAAGCTTTTGCTACTGCTTCGACAGCCAGTGGCAGCCCCGCACATTTTTCCGCTATCTCCCTCGCCGTAAGCAGTAACTCAGAATTTTCCAGGAACTCAGAATTTTCAACTTCATCACTGACTATCTTCTTCAGAAGTGTCCATGCTTCTCCATCTTGTAATGTATCAACTGGGATGTTTACCTTAATACCCATGTTACAAGATAAAACATCGAGATATCTAGATGTGAAGAGAATCTTGCATTGCATCTGTTCTTCTACAGTTGAACTTGCCTCATTCTTTTTGTTTTCAAATGGAATTCCAAGATCATCCAAATCTAGCTCCGCCCAGATATCATCTAAAATCACAAGAATCTTCTTCTTTTTCTTCAAATACACCTTTAGTTGATTGGCCCTCCCAAATTCAGTCTCCCCATGAAGCTGTAGACCTAATTGTTCTGCAATTTCTCCTTGAATCTTTTTCAGGTCTGGATTCTTTTTCACAGAAGCCATAACTATCACATCAAATAACTGCTCTTCCCTGGCTTGTCCGCCAACCTTTTTGGCTAACATGGTCTTGCCCACACCAGGCATCCCGTGGATGCCTATCTTGTCAACACTAGCACTTCTCAAGGCCTCCATAACACGGTTCAAAATCGGTATTCTTGAGTCAAATTGCACAAAGCCTTTAACTGGTGCGGTGGATATCTCTTCTGGAGGAGGAAAATAGGAATCTGGGAACTTGAATCCGGAGGCTCCTTCTAGGAGTGGAACAACAGCCTCCATATACTTATCTACTTTCTTGCCAATTTGGTAACGGACTTTGGGATTAGGACACAATCCAGCAAAACACTTCTTCTTTGCTTTGTCTTCGTCCCCTCTTAACTCCTCAATCTCTCGCTTGTACTTCTCTGCTCTGGTCAGCCAATTCTTGACATTCAGGGCGACCTCTTCCCCTCTTCTGTTTGCAGCTTCAGTAAATTGCAACACACGTTCTATTTCCTCGGTAAGCTTCTCTGCCTTTCGCTTCAGATTCTTTACATTGGACTTCCACTTGAGCACACGAGTGATTTGGATCCAGATTAGCTTAAAAAATGGATAAACCAATTTCTCTGTCACATCGCCAACCACAGCAGTCCCAACACCAGGAACAAAGTCAGCCATTTTCCCTTTTTCTTTTTTCTTTTTTCTTTTTTCTTTTTTCTTTTTTTTTTAATAAAAAATTAGATTTTGACTTTCTGAAAATATATATGTAAAACGAAAAACAAGATCTTTGGCCGAGCTGGAACTACTAAACTTTAATTTGAGACGAGACGAAAATTAAAAAGTTTATACTCCTGCAAGATTAAACACTTATGTATTAGAAAAAATGAAAATTACATATGTATAAACGGTAGGAAATAGAATATTTTGTATTTATTTTGTATTTTGTATATTTTACATATTGAGAGTCTTTATGTAATTTTGTATTGTATATAACCCTAATATAAGTATGCTGCTAAGGGTGAGCAGCAGTAAAGGTCCTTTTCACCCTCCACTTCCGCCTTTGATTTTATTAATGGTATTAGAGCCATCAAGATCATAGCGTGGATTGGAGATTGGATTTCTTGATTGGGTTTTTCATCTCGTATTGATGGTAATATCAATTACTTTCTTATTTGCTTTTCTCCTTGGTTGATTTGCATCTTGATTTGTTGCTGCAGAATTGGATTCAATAATGGCTAAGAAAAATGAAACTTTGGCTGTCAAATTAGATGGAAAGAATTTTCCTTTGTGGAAATTCCATTTTCAATTCTTTGTAGAAGGCAAAGGTTTGTGAGGCTTCATTGATGGAATCGAGCCTATGCCTGAAGCATCAAAAGTCAAAGAACTTCAACAGTGGAAGGTGAATAGTGCAAAAATTGTTTCTTGGATTTTGGCTTATGTTGATATTAATATTGGAATACCTGTGCGAGGATTTCACATTGCTAAAGCAATGTGGGAACATCTTGAAAAGATCTATCAGCAATCAAATTGGGTTAGGAAATTTCAGATTGAATTTGACATATTCAAGACTATTATGCTACGTTCATGAGTTTGTGGACTGAACATGAGTAGGGGATTATGGGTGACTGTGAGGATTGTTGCTTACAGAGTTTACAAACTCTGAATGATGAGAGAAAAGTGATGCAATTTTTGATGAAGCTAAGACTTGAATTTGAGCCTTTTCGTGCTAGTATTTTGAACCAGGTAAAGTTACCCTCTATGGATAAATAATTGGGAGAGCTCCTTTAGGAGGAAACTAGACTTTCAACACAAGCCACACTAGACAAAGGAGAAGCTGAACTGCATTTGTTGCTAGTAAAACCTTGGGAAAGACATCTCAGAAGGATTTTTCTAAGGTGCAATGTTTTGAATGCCAAGAATTTGGCCATGTTGCATCTTGTTGCAAGAAGAAACATGCTTGTGTTTATTGTAAACAATCTGGATATATTATTACAGATTGTCTTGAGTTGAAGCAAAAGGGGACTAATTCCAAGAAGAAATCCAATCATCGAGTATACCAAGCAACTAGTTCTCCATGCACTGAATCAATTTCTACATTGTCATATGCATCATCTGCTACAAAGAATTCTAATTTTGTGGAAGGAAAAGATTCACCTATCTTAAATGAAGTTCAAAATTGGTACAAAATTCAATATCCTCAGCTATTACTTCTACTTTTTCTACTATTGGTCTATCTGGTAAGAATTCAGCATTTCCTTCTTTTGTAAATCTTCTTTGGTTTATTGACTCTAGTGTTTCAAATCATATGACTGGAGCTCACCCTACCTTTAGTTCAACCAAACCTTTCCAAGGGAATAATAAAATTGAAACTGAAAATGGGGAAAAACTTGATATTGTTGGTACAGATAATCTTACATTATCTATGGCATCTCAATCCTCTTTTCATTTGCCAAATGTCTTTTTATTACCCAAATTAACTACCAACCTAATTTCTGTTGGACAACCTGTTGATGATTTTGATCATGTTGTTCCTTCTTCTCATTTTGGTTGTGTTGTACAGGACCGTTGCACTGGGATAGTGAAAGGGAAGAGGCGTAGGATTGGTTGCTTGTTTACCTTGGAATTTGATAAAGGAAATAGTGATGCTGGTTTGTTTGTTTCTTCTAATAAAGATGTCTCTAGTTCTGCTAATCTTTCGCACTTGTGGCATCGTAGACTTAGTCATCTCAATGTTAAGAGATTAGATACATTATTTACTTCTGGTCTTTTGAACAATAAAACTTTGCCATTGGATTCCATTGATAAATCTTGTATTAGTTGTTCCTTGAGTAAAGTGCAAACTCACCTTTTCCAACTCATTCTTTGACTCCAACTAAACCCTTTGTTTGATACATAGTGATGTTTGGGATCCTTCTCTTGTTTCATCTAGATTGGGATATAAATATTTTGTTTTATTTATAGATGATTGCACAAGATTTACATGGATATTTTTTATGCGACACAAATCTGAAGTATTCTCTCATTTTAAGACCTTTTTGTCTATGATTAGAACACAATTTGATAATAATATAAAAATTCTTCGGTTTGATTTTGGGGGTGAACATTTACTAAAAGAATTTCAAGAATTTTTGAAGGTTAAGGGTATTCAATCTCAAAAGTCATGTCTTGTTACCCCACAGCAAAATGGTATTGCTGAAAGGAAAAATCGTCATATTTTAGAGATAGTTAGAACTTTGTTATCTAATTCTCTTGCTCTTCCTAACTTTTGGGTTGAGGTTGTTTCTACGACAGTCTATCTCTTTAACTGTATTCCTTCTAAAGTATTGCATAACACCTCTCCATATTACTCCTTGCATAAATGTCATCCGGATTATTCTCGTTTACATGTTTTTGGTTGTGTGTTCTTTATTCATTTACCTCCTCAAGAAAGGAAAAAATTATCAAATCAAGTTGCCATGTGTGTTTTTGTTGGATATGGTGTTGATCAAAAGGGTTTCTTATGTTATGATCCAAAAATTGGTAGAATTCGTGTTTCTAGACATGTGGTTTTCCTGGAGAATTTATTTTATTTTGATGCAATTGCAAAGCCCAATAATTCCTCACCTCCCATGTTGCATGACTTTTCATTTGATCATAATGATCCAGCAGAACAATTTTCCATTGATCAATTCTATGCAACAAACAAACAACCTCAAACTTGTTCCTTTCACCAACCAGAGGATGGTCCACCTGTGGATGCTCAATCAATAAGTGATTCTGATCCTGCTTCTAATGCCTCTACTAATTTCATTGTTTCTTTACATCGTTTTGCTCATACTATTCGTCCACCTGATTGTCTTAACCTTTTTACCTCTCTCTCTTTGTTGACAACATTAGATTTTGTTGATATACCTTGTTCTTACCAGGAGGTTGTTAACATTCCTTGTTGGAAGGAAGTTATGGATTCTGAATTAAGTGCCTTATTGGAGAATGATACTTGGGATATGGTACCTTGTCTTTCTAATGTGTCTATTATTGGTAGCAAGTGGGTCTTTTCTATTAAACTCAAAGCAGACGATAGTATTGAGCGATATAAAGCAAGACTTGTTGCCCAAGGTTATAAGCAAGAGTATGGAGTTGATTATATAGAAACATTTGCACTAGTGGCTGAAATGACTATAGTGAGATTACTTATTGCTTTTTTGACAATGCATTAGTCGCTTATTTCTCAAATGGATGTGAAAAATGCTTTTTTCATGGGAATTTGAAGGAAACTGTTTGTGTGAAGCCTCCTCTAGGTTATTTATATGCTAAATCCATGGTTTGCAAATTAAAGAGATCATTATATGGTCTTAAGCAAGCTCCTCGAGCTTGGTTTGAATGCTTTCATCAAGTTATTGTTGATGATGGGTATGTTCAGAGTTTTCATGATTATTGCTTGTTCATGCATCACTCTACACAAGGTGTTACTTTATTTTGATTTTTGTCAACGATATGCTTACTACCGGTAGTAATAAGGAAGGTATTGCTAAGTTGAAAGAGTTACTTTGTCGTTCTTTTAATATGAAAGATTTGGGGCCATTGACTTATTTTCTTGGTTTAGAAGTTCACTCATCTTCTCGTGGTTATGTGGTGAATCAATGGAAGTATGTTCTAGATTTGATCCAATTTGCAAACTTATCTGATGATAAATGTGTTGACACTCCAATGGAAGTAAATGTCAAGCTTAGGAAGGAGGATGGTGAAAAACTCTCTAATCCTAGCTTTTATAATCAACTTGTGGGTCGCCTCCTTTATCTTACTATGACTAGACCTGATATTGCTTATGTTGTGCAAGTGTTTAGTCAATTTGTTGTAGATCCTTAGTGGTTACATTTAACTGTTGCTCTTCGCATAATTCGATATTTTCATGGCACTTTTCTTCTCCTCTCATCCTTGTATGCAATTGCAAGCTTATGCAGATGTTGATCGGGCACGTTGTCATGATACACGTTGCTAAACCACAAGTTGGTGTGTGTTTCTTGGTGACTCCCTTATTTCTTGGAAATGTAAGAAACAAAAAACAGTGTCCAAATCCATTGCTGAAGTTGAATACCGAGCAATGTCTTCAGCATGTAGTGAATTGACTTGGTTTCGAGGATTTTTACAAACACTTACTTTTCCTACTCCTCCTTCACCTCTTTATGCTAATAATATGAGTGTTATTCGTATTACATCCAATCTTGTCTTTCATGAGTGTACCAAGCACATTGAAGTGGATTGCCACTTTATACGGAATATGTATCTTGTAGGTGCAATTACTTTCCCTTATATTGCTTCTAAGCATCAAATTGTAGATATTTTTACAAAGGCAATGACTACTGCACGACACAAGTTTTTAGTGAGCAATCTGACGCTGGTTTCCCAACCTCAGTTTGAGAGGGAGTGTTGGAAATAAAATATTTTTGTATGTATTTTGTATTTTGTATATTTTATATATTGAGGGTTTTTATGTAGTTTTGTATTGTATATAACCCTCATACAAATATGCTGCTAAGGGTGAGCAGTAGTAAAGGTCTTTTGCACCCTCCACTTTCACCTCTGATTTTATTACATAAACTACATAGCAGAAAAGAAAAGAAAAGAATGGAGATATATTTGAATAAAAATTAATACAAAATAATTTAACAAAAAATTCAAAATTAATATTAATTTTGTCTCCATAAAGAAAAAGTATAGAGGTTGGAGGATAATATTTTTTATTTAATTAAATAATTTAAAAAATAAAATGAAGTTTTATAATTTTTTAATTAAATAAAAAAAATATTTATATATTATTTATTTTT